ACCAACAACAGTTACAATAAATGGCAGAGTTTTGTGTTCACACTCGCTTTCTGCATGTAGGAGCAAACAAACAATATTCTTGATCTAAAGCAGTGCTTCTCAATTATTTTCTGTTATGCCCCCCCCCCCCCCAAAAAAAAAAATTTCGCGCGCCCCCCCACAACTCTCCACCGCAACTGTAAATAGTATGTCTATAAAGCTGTTATAAGTACACCTCTGCCTAACATTGTGTCCTTATTAACATTAAAGAAAACAAATATATATATATAGATCAATAACAACAAAGAATAACTTTATTAACATTGTTTTTTTTAAGTCTGTAACAGAAACAACTTAAAGTGTGATCATAATATAATCAAATATAATCAATAAATAATAATAAATTCAAATTGATCAGCAACATTTTAACTCAGAAGTGTTATAAAAAACACGTTGACCTACAAAACAAAAATGAATAAAACAATTTATGTTGATTTTATTTTATTTTTTAAATCAAAATGAAGTCAGGATCAATGAGTACACTCTTCTATAAAATAAACAAAAAAAATTGTCAACATGAAAGAAGAAAGAGGGGGCAGGTAACCCTCTCGCTTTGAGTTTACTCTTTGTCACATGCGAGCTGTGGATGACAAGCGTCCAGAGAATCATAAAAACAGCAGCTTAACTGAGGAGGTGAATAGATTTTGTTAGCAAAGAATACGCTCCTAACATTTATTAAACATTACTTCTGTAAATTGCGCTTTGACAAACTGATCGATAAAACGAAAACGTTTTGTCAACGCAAAAGAGGAAAGAGGGGGCAGGTGTCGCTCTCGCTTGAGTTTACTCTTTGTTGCATGCGAGCTACGAGTGACGTCCAGAGCGCATCAACATAAAAACAGTAGCGGAGGACGGAGGAGTTGATGGTCGGAGTTTATTTATCGTGTCAGCAGCAGAGGAGAGACATGGTTCATGCATGGCTCCCAAAATGACAAGGCAGCCATGTTTGTTCATAACTTTATTATTAGGAACGCACGTGACAAAATGAGAATAGTGGGAAAAAAACAAACAAAAAAACTACTCCCTGTGGCAAAAAAGCATGTTTTCTAGAGTCACATGCGCCCTCCCGGCATTGCCCCAGCCCCCTCCCCAGGGGGCGCGCACCCCATTATTTGAGAAGGACTGGTCTGAAGGAACATTCGTGCATTCACCAGTTTGGATGTAGCTGTAAGCATGCTGAGACAGTATGCACCATGAGCTGAGCCTGGCATGCCAGATAAACATAAACATTTTTTTTTTGTCTCTCCTTTTATGTGCACCATCCATCCATACTTCCATTATCTTTACCTACTTCTTCCTTTTCGGGTTGCGGGGGTCACTGGTACCCATATCCAGCAGTCACTGTGTGAGAGGCGGTGTGCACCCTGGACAATTTGCAAGTCCCTCACAGTTCTGTGCACATGTTCACCAAATACAACGCACACCTCATCTTACAACCCCCTTCCTCCAGGAAAGCACACCCTCACTCAGCATGTATGATAGTTTGGGTCAAAATACAATCATTTTAAAGCAACGGCGCAAAACTTCACTTTTTCTTATCTGGCAACCCTTCCAGGTATGGAAACCACATTGGATCAATGTAAATATTTATTTTTCTTGTTCATTTGCTCCAGTAAACATGGAAAAAACCACAAACTTACCAGAGGTCACTGTCATGTGAACAAGGCCTGAGAACAGACCAGAAGACCTGAATTCACTTCTGGTGGTTTTATTATTCAGAATGCTTGAATCTGTTGTCACCCCTTCCCAAAAACATCAAAGCATTATCACTGTTTATTTCAAAACTTCCTGCAACACTTTTTTTTTTTTTTTTTTTGTAGAACCACATTACCGCTGCTATACAGTTCCTTTACACCTGCAGACTAACCGTAATCTATCCCATTGTAGATAATGAAATTGAAAAAGGTTGATTCTGCAGTTGCTTTAAAGAAGAAAACAGAACATCCATCATTTCTTTTGTCCATCCAGAGAGACCTCATTTGATTTTGGATCATTGCAAAGATATGCAGTTAGTTTCCTTGTTGGCGCTGTTTAAGCTCTGCAACTGAGGCTTTGGGAGAACTTTGTCTTTGAAATGAGAGTACGATCTTTATCTAGTTTTTTTTAGAGATTTCAATCAATAGCAGTTATTTTTTTCACTGGTCTTCGCCAGTAATGTTTGAGTCTTTGTGAAAGTTCTTCCACAAACCTTCTCTTTCATTACTTCAAGATGTTTCCCACAGTCTGCCAACTCTTATCTGGAGATGATAACACTTCAGTGGTAGTCCTTACATAACTTATTACCTGTCTCTCAGTGAGCGATTAGGCATCTTGGTTAAATCAACCCTTTTTCATTATCTTCACACACGAGTGCATTAAAACAATACAGCACAGGCTTTACTTTAACACAACACCAAAAGATAGAAGTTGTTGACAATTATTTACTTTCATGGGCTGTTTATGAAGATGAATATGAGTCCAGGACGGAAGGAAATTTGCATTTCACATCGTCTGTCATTTTGCGTGGTATAATGCTTCTTTGAAAAACCTTGCTGGGTTTCCCATGGTCTAAAAAGTACAGCTCATTGCATATGAGCTGATTAATAATGAGGAGGAAGGTCTCTGCAGAAGAGCGATGGCCAAAGCTCCAAGTCCAGCTCTTTGGAAACAAAAACAATACACTTTACAGAACATTCTTGAAACTTTTGGAAAGCTGCTTGTTTCCCATCCTCTCACATTTGCATATCGTCAAGGATCTTGAGGTAAATGTAAAAATTAGCAACTCATATGAGGCGAGTCTGAAATGTTAGGAGCAGCTGAAGAGCTCTTGTGACTGCAGAGTGGGACCATTCCCCTTCCTCCTCATCCCCCACTTCCCATGTGGCCTCAAATCATTAATCACTGAGATCTTTTCAGCTGTCAATACATACAAAAAGGCGACCCCCAAAGCCAACAATGATGTCTCAAATGAAACGTTTCTTTTTCCTTTTCAGAGCAGGGGCAAATATAGTTCACTAAGGATTATTTTTTGCTCTTCTGTCCAGTACAAATCTCATACAGTTTTCATAAAGAGCTTATCTTGTAGGAAGAAAAATAAAGTCTTGGTTGAACAACACGGCATATTGTCAAAAAAAAATCTCAGATTTGGCAGTATTAGTTTTTATCTCCTGTTCAAAGAGCTCCTGCTCCAATGAGTTCAACCTTTATTTATGCAGGTTAGTCTCACTGAGCCTCAAGGACTCATTTACAAGAGAGAACTGTTTTAAACAAAGAACACAGATGCGGTACAGACAACAATAGACATCCATAAGAAAGCATATAAAATGAAAAATAGGAGAAATTATGCAAAAAAAACGAAACAAAGACAGCTACATTATAAAGTGGCGCAAAATACTAAAAGCAGGAACATGTCTATGTTGGTTTTTGCAGTGAAGTGGGCAGTTTAAAATCCCTTAGAGTGGTCAAAGTCGACCACTTCAGATCTTTTTGCAATGTGTTACAGGAGTCGAGTAACAGAAGGCCCTTTTGCCAAGTCCGATCCGCACTAAGGGTACACTGCAAGTAATTATGTCCTGAGAGTGCATACTGTAGCTACACTGACGAAGTGACATGTCAAAGTCAAGGTTTCTTTATTGTCATTTGCATCACATGTGGTACATGTGGTGGAACGAAATTGTGTACACAGGGTCCCAGTTACAACTTAGTAAGAGAAGGCCCGTTTGCCAAGTGCACACTGCAAGTAATTATGTCCTGAGAGTGCATACTGTAGCTACACTGACAAAGTGACATGTCAAGGTCAAGGTTTCTTTATTGTCATTCGCACCACATGTGGTGAAGTTAATGATGGCCAATTGACCAATGAATACGGGGTGCAGTGATGGTTACGGTAGTTAACAGCCAGTTATGAATCTTAGCGCATCGTGATAGATGGCGTCCATAGGAACATAATATTATAGGAAGCAGCATGTATGCAAGCTGAATATTGTGGCATTTGTGAGAAGATTTTGATTTTTAATCATGATTAAAAGTAAAGTCCCTTTAAAGAAAGCGTGTGTGGTATGTTTAATTGCTACAGCCTCTTATGTTGACTACCTACTGTATACGCTTTAAAATAAACAGTGACCAAACCTTAATACAGTTTACTTGCACATTGACATTTGTTAATCCAACTTAAAGTATTTTAAAGCACATGGTCACATTGAATGAGCTGCTTGCAAGGCATCGTCACTTAACGACTGTACAATTACCTATTGATTCATCCCATGTTTCACTGACGCAGCACGCTCTATTTTTTTCTATATTCACTTCAATTTTTTGTCCTTGAAAGCAAGAGGGAAAAAAGAATGCATAGTGCATATCTGAATACTAAAATCCCCCCTCCCTATTGATCTTCTCCTCAGTGTGCTGTTTGGCAGTTGAGGTTTTACGATGCAGATTTTAATCACCTCTGCTGGTTCAGAGTAGCCCTAGATGTGTCTGGCACCACACTATTCAGGCTTCTGATGATTTGTAACTTGTAAACAACACAAGTCATGGAAGGACACCTGCCACTTTTACACAGGCCAGACACTCAGCTTTTCTGTATGGCACATAAAGTAGAATATTTGTGGGGGACTTGTGCCATAAATTTTATAGATGCATGATTTGTTGTGCCATGTTTTATTAGATCTAATCCCAGTGACTCCTTGTTCTTTCACTGTGTGCTGAGCCTTGCATAAACTGGCTGGGAACCTGCATTTGCATTACACCGAATGGGTTTCTGCAGTGACTTTGTTAATTGGCAATAAAACACAAAACATGTGTTTTCTGGTAATAAAAGTTTATTGACTTTTTTTTAAATGATGATGTTTTAAATATTTTGTTTATGTTTTTGCACAAACTAGTGTATTTATATTTTTAGTATGTGGTTGCAAGATCTTCTTTGAGCAGTTTTACCTAAATAAATCTTCCCCACATTTAATGATTTTTTTTTTCTTGCACAGAATCGCCGAAACTGAACAAGAATCATCGTCCACATTTTATCCTGAAAGTAGCGTGGAGGCAAGCCATGGAGGTGAAGGAACGTAGGCCGTATCGCTCGCTCACGACCCGGCAGGACACAGAGCGTCGATACACCAGCTCGTCGGCAGACAGTGAAGATGGCAAACCCAACCCGAAATCTTACAGCTCCAGCGAAACACTCAAAGCCTTCGACCACGATTCGAGGATGGCATATGGGAGCCGGGTCAAAGAAGTGGTTCATCATGAAGCGGATGAGTTTGGCCGGCAAGGTTAGACACATATTAGCGACATGACACCATTTTGTCAGCTGATGACAATATAATTCATGTCAACAGTCTGATCTATAACAACATTAGCTAAACTTGATTAACAGACACATTACTGTCTGATTTTTGTACAGTCATCATTGTTTTTTAATGAGGATTCAGTTGAGGTCACTCAGCGTAGCCTGGTTATTAATTGGTTTGAACTGCCCTTGATGGTGGGGAAAACTCTAAAAGAAAACCATGTTTTGACCTTTTTGCTCAAATACATTATTGATGATCAAAGGTCAAACTGAAAGTTAACAGAAAGAACACCAAGACTTAGAAGACCAAGGACCATAAGCAGTGGGAAAGTGATTGCTGAATGAAAGACAGGTGGATTGATTGCGCATTACAGACAGATAGGAAAGGAGCTAAAAAGAAGGATTGCTGAGGGAAACAGTGATAGGGAAACTAAACAAATCTACAATCTAATGGAAACCCCAACAAATGCTAAATTAAAAAAATAAAACGACAAATTAACGTAACACAAAGTATAAATATACGTATATTTTTTATCTATTGTTGGTGCATTGTTAGTTGTAATAATGTTGAAGACAAACTTATTTTACTTTTTTTTTAGATAGACTGTGACAACCTACAAAGCTCTCAACAACCTAGCTCCATCTTATATTTGAGATCTTATTGTGCCATATTTTCCTAACAGAGCACTTCGTTCTCAGACTGCAGGTTTACTCGTGGTTCCTAGAATTTCCAGAAGCAGAATGGGAGGAAGATTTTTCAGTTATCAGGCTCCTCTCTTGTGGAACCAACTTCCAGTTTCTGTCCGTGAGGCTGACGCATTGTCCAGTTTGAAGACTGGGCTTAAGACTTTCCTTTTTGATAAATCTTATGGTTAGGGTTGGCTTGTTATCCTGCCATAGGCTTAGACTACTGGAAGACAAATTGACCTCATTTCCTAAATAAATTGTTAAACATTTCATTTGATATTATACATATCTTAACACGTGATTCTCGACCTGCCATTGTGTATCTGTTCCTCCTTCCTGTTCCTCTCAAACCCAGCCGGTTGAAGCAGATGGCCGCTTGTCCTGAGCCTGGTTCTGCTGGAAGTTTCTTCCTCATGAGGGAGATTTTCCTTTCCGCTGTCACCTTCATGTTTGCTCAAGATGAGTCTGTGATGAAGTTAAACTCAAAGCAGTCTGTTCCTCAGATAATTATTGTTAAATTATTATTTTTACATATGAATGTTTCTGTTCAGTGCCCTGAGATGACTTCTGTATATATAAATAAACTGAATTGAATTGAAAAAGTTTAGGTTTTAATTGGTGTTAAAATCTGTTCACAGTATTGAGACAAAAACTGAAGACAGTGTAGAAACTATTACTGGTATTTTATTTTTTTAATCTGAAACTATGGCAACTCCTTGGAAAAAAAGACTCCAATGTGATAAAATACAGTAAGTGTAAGATGAATGCTTCAAAAGGTGCATTTACAAATATGCTATTACCTTACAATGACTTTATACAGCAAAGGGAACCTTTATAATACCAATACTTAATCCATCTACATTTCACTACCTCACCACTGAGTAAACGAGTTTATATTAGAGGACAGTAGATGATTTGGTAAATCTCTAGTTCCTACTCAATAACTACTAACTTATTTAAAGATATTTGCCGTGCACAGTTAAGGATGTATGTGTTGCAGTTCAGTGTTAATTCCCAGAGTTCTGTAATTGTTGTCTTGCTGCAGGGGCAGAGTTCTCCCTTCGGGACCTTGGCTTTGGAGAAGCCCTCCCTTCACACGTGGCCACGTACAGGACTGAAATGGGGATGCCGCACCGTGATTACTCCGTCAGTGTGGGCTCGGATGCAGACACAGAGACTGACGGCATCATGTCTCCAGAACATGCGGTCAGACTATGGGGTCGCAGCAACACCAAGTCGGGCCGCAGCTCGTGCCTCTCCAGCAGGGCCAACTCCAATCTAACTCTTACCGACACCGAACATGAGAACACAGAAAACGGTAGGATGACCTTCCCTTTAAGTTATAATTTTTATTTATTTATTGTTAGGCAGCTTTTTTAATTTTTTTATTCTTTGAAGTATCACTATCAGTTGCTGCTTTTGAAAGATCAAAAACCACAGGGTGGATTGAAAATCCTATTCTAAGATTATATTAAGATTATACAGTTTTTTTTTTTCATTTACCCTTTATTTATACAGGTTGGTGGGGGTTAAGGGCCTTGCTCAGGGGCCCAAGGTGGTGCAAATGAGGGTGGAGGCAGGTGTGGGTGTTTCACCTTTTCCACCCATATTTTTGATGTTGACGGTAGTGGGAGTTGAACCTGCGACTTTCTGATCACAGGCCCATCTTCTAACCTCTGCGCCGCCACTGCCCCCATGGCAGTTTGAATTGATTTCTGACAGTCCTCAGCTGGGAATTGCTTCTTTTTTTTTTTTTTTTCCAAAAGATGGGGTGCATTGTTTTTACCATGTTGTTTAGGATTTTGGATTTACAGGAGAAATTAGACAGGAGCAAGAACTGGAAGTGGCAGAAATTAAGATGTTGAGGTTCTCTTCAGGAGTGACAAGGATGGGTATGAGATCATACAACTGGGAGATAAAGTTAGAGGGGGCCAGACTGAGATGTTTGGACACGTCCAGACGAGGGACAGTGGGTATATTGGTAGAAGGACGTTAGAAATGCAGCTGCCAGGACAAAGACAAAGAAGAAGGCCAAAGAGGAGAAATATGGATGCAGTTAGAGAGGACATGGAAGTAGGTGGAGTGAGGACAGAGTGAGATGGAGGCTCACTGTGGTGACCCCTGAAGAGGGAAGAGCTGAAAGAAGAAGTAGTTTAGGATTTTGAATTTAGGTTGATAGGGACAAAAGTTGCTAAATAAAATACAATTATCAGTTTTGCACATAAACCACTTGTTTTCTTCATGTTTTTGTGCTTCAGCCACTACATATTTTTAAACTGACAGAAAACCTTCTGACAGGTTTCTTGTGCCTGTAGTGCCAGAATATGAAGCCATACGCTTTTTTTTTTTTTGTAACTTGGTTTCTGTTTTGTCCTTGAAGGCACGAATGGCTCTTGATCAAAGAATCACTTAATATAAAACAAAGACAATGCTACAAGCCAGCAGCAGATTGACTGAATATATTCTTTAAATCATAGCTTTGTTTCCAATAAATTTCCAACACGATAGTTATATACTCAAAAAAACATTTGACTGTTTCTTGAATAGTCTGTTTGAAAAAGGACATTTGAAGAAAATTCGTCGCCGTGTTCAGGCAATGCGATGTGGATATACTTCTTTAAATTTATATGTATCCATGTAGGAGTCCATAATTTATGCCAGTCTCTGCATGTTTGCCTCATTTTCTGCCGATCTGGATCATTTACATTCTTTGATATTAAATTGCTCTGTACTAAAAGTCAAAAATCGTTTTTTTTTTACTTCCAGATGTAAAATTAAGCATTAACTCAACTCGGAGCATATTACGCAGCAGATTTATGACATTGTTCCCAGATAGAGAAACTCATCAAAGCACCAGCAGCAAAGAGTCTAATTGCCCCACACAGCCTTCCACAGAAGCTTCTGAGGAGTTTTGCATTTCAGAGTGTGCCACGTTACGCATCATCTCCTCATTATAACTGACAGAGATGACTCTTGCAAGTGGAATTCATTTGCCCCAATGACTCGGGGAAAAGGTGGCATCTTTCGGCTTGATCATCTGAGGTGCCTTGGGCCCTAAACTTGGCTGTATTGTACATAATTAAAGAGAATCGCCACGGATGGGGGGTCCAGGCGCTGGTATTCTGGAATGTGTTCGGATCACCCGTAGCTGCAGCACCATGCTTCTATGAGACCCAGCCAAGGCTCTAAGTAGCCCTTTATTCCACTCACCCAAGCAGAAAGAGCCCTTGTATTCAGCATTTAATTCAGTAAAGCCAGATAACATACAATTTATATATGGCAAGTTAATTAAAATCCATCGAGCAGGCCTTCTTGTGTGTGCTTTAATCTATTTAAATCAACAAACCATTTACTCTGCATTAATGTATTCAAGCCGCTGGGCAGTTCCCCCCCCTCCTTTTTACATGTGACTTACTTGACCCTGGTTTTAATTCATGCAAATAAGCAACTGTAATTTTAAAACAATTTTCTTGACGCTGTGATTCCAAGTCAACACTTGTGCTTTATGAACAAAACGTCCTGCCTATTACAACGCTCCTTGGAAAGGTTCATCCTTGTTCTTGTGCAATGACAATCGTCACCCTTTTTTTTGATTGCCGTTAAATTATACTGAAAGTCTAAGGTAAACACTAATTGAACAAATACTTTAAGCTATTCAAATTACTGGAATTCAATAGTGATTTGCTCCATCTTCTGTCTGTAAATCCACTGAGCAGCGGTGCCGCGTGACCATTGATAGGCAGTAACTCTTGTTCTAGTTCAATATTCTACTGGGGAAACTTGGTATTTACATAGATGCCAGTTTGAAACTTGCCAAAAAAACTGAGCTCAGTAAGACCAAATCCCTAGAGACTAATCTGATGGGATGTGATGACATCAGATTTGCAACTAATCTGTACAGACCCCACCCTACAATTCCCAGGTCCCAGGGGATCCATTTGTAATGCCCTGATACCACACTCCCCAGATGATTGTAGTCCACACCCTGGAGAGTATTCTGACAGCATAGGTGGGAATACAGTAATGTACCTATACTGTGCACATGCTTGTTGGAATACATTTAAAAGTTGACAAAGCACATACAGCTTTGTGTATGCATCCCACCCATGCTAGCTGTGGTCCCTAGGGAGCCCCTCAAAGACACTTCCAACAGCTGTTAATTGCCGAGTCATTGTACATCATACTGAGCCCGAACAGCAAGATGTCAAACCAGTCTGTTTGGAAAAGGCTTGCTTTTTCTTTGGTTTATACCCAGTAACGGCTTACCCAGATGTGTGCTCTAATCCCAGCGTTCCCCCACGGTCATGGCTGGGCTATTACATTTCTGTAACCATGAGAACCAGCACCAAAGATAACCACAGAGCCTGTTGAGGAATTATTTGTGTGTTCCATAACCTGTGAAGAAGAAAAAAAGTGCTGCTAAAGCCTACACAGTTATTTTTGATAGAATGATGTTTGTGTGACTGATGGTGGGATTTTTCCAAGACCTAAATGTTATTACCGGTCGTTTCACTGGGTGGTTACTTGTGTTCTGATCTACTCTTCATTCATTGCGATATATATGTTTAAACACATACAAACCTTGATCTTGTTCTAAAATGCAGCTGGGTGATACAGTTCACGTTTTAAAATCCAGAGCACAAGTGTTTTTTTGTTTTTTTCTATGTAAAGTCTTTTTTTATATTCAAATGTTTTATGCTAGTGGAATGGCCCATGTTGGGACTGTTTGATGTAGCTTTTGAAGTTTATTTTTCTATTATTGCTCATTTCTCCAATGCAGGTTGCTATATTGCCTTTGGAGAAAACCTTGAGATGGAATTGGTGTTTATTTGGGCACAAGTCCTCCCACAGCCTTTCAACTGCGTTTTGTTTTCCAGCAGAAATCAAGCAGCGTGCTTGTGGAGCTCTTCTTGCATTTCCCATAATTCCATTTTATACTGTTGTTTTATGGCAGTTTTTATTTGACATCATCATCGGTATTATTAGAAGCAAAATGACTGTTGATGAAAATGATCAAACATTCTGGCTGACTCTGTCACATTCTATGTGATGGGGAAAAAAAACGCCACCAACAACAAATTAACAGCTTCGATGGTGGACTTGCGTTTTACAGCTGTCACAACAGATTGCTTTAGCTCTTGAGTTTAACTGCCTAAACTTGTGCTTGAGTTGTGTTTCTCAAGCCTGATTACACATGGCTATTTTAAGGAATTATGCAACGGTTGTTGTGGATGGCTTCTTGTTTGGGTCCCGGTTGAATCCATGTTTACTACACTTTGAAACTTAAATAATTTTGATCATTTGAAGGATATGTCTCTAAAATAGACTCAAACAAGCTTTTTTTTTTTTTTCTTGAGAAAAGCACATTTATTTTAAGAAATTCTGCTAGACCTGAAGATTATTTCAAATCAATTCAAAACCAACAACGCGCATTTTAATGATCAAAATAAATGTGCAAATTTAACTTTAGTTATGCAATTAGCTATTTTTTCCCCATTTACTTTTTAAGCATTGCTTTGCATCGTATTGTACCAGCACTTAGAATGATTATGATAAATTAAGATTAAACATTTGTTAGGGCTTTTTATCCCAACCCATTGGATTGCATTTAAAAATGTGCAAACGTCTCTCTCATATTCTTCTAATAATACAATAAAACTTGTGATTTCAACACAAAAGTGTGTGTGGGGGGGGGACAAGATGAAACGAGCTTTAGGTTTTTTGATTTTCTTTAACTCATAAGTGCAGATAGTCGGTTTTTTTTTTTTAGCAAAAACAATCTTGGAATTCATCAGTATTTTTTTTTTCTTCGAACTTTGGACCTAGCACACACCCATCCCATCGTTTTACCCCAGTGTAGTTGCACCGTGGTCCATGATCATTTTGACAAAAACAAATATTCATGTCCACACAGTTGCAACAGACAAAGCAGACGTGTTGCTGCTAATCCTGCTAGCCGGGGATCTTTATATTCTTCGGTCCAATAGATCATTGAGGTGCGCAAATGCTGGCAGTAAAGCTGCACTCACCCATGAGCATAGTTTCCATTTTTATAAGCCTTTTAAAATAAACTATAATGGAAAAAACACATTGGAATGCTACAAGTTGTTTTCTCTCCTTTTTTTTTTGTTGGTTCAAAAGCTCACGGTTCAAGTTTTTTTTTTAATTGTCATTAGCATCACATGTGGTACATGAGGTGGAATGAAACTGTGAACTCAAGGTCCCAGTTACACCCAAAAATAGCAAAAACATAAAGTATAAAAAGAAACCGTATATAAGGATCTAAGATATACACTAAACAATAATAATATAATATGG